CGAAACTGAATTAAGTTTGATGAATGTATGAAGAAGGAATACATGCCTCGATGGTCGCTTCATCCAACACCAGTTGCAACACTTCCATTCCTATCTCCGCACTCAGCAGTTGTTGCATTCTGTGAAGAAATATTAAAGTATGGAACCGCTTGGGAGACACTGAGGGAGGAACTTGCTACAGAGAAGATCACAATGACTCTGGAAGAAGTGAGAGAGCAGATGAGAAACGTTCTCTCCCTCACAGATGTCAAATTAGTATATATACATATACAAAATTTTATAAAATCTTGAATTTATTATGATGGGGCAATTACAAAAATGCCACAAATAAGTTTTGTTCTGTGTCCAGAGAGTAGGCAACGAACTCTGGATTACCAATTCTCATGTGTTGATTTCATTCTTAGGCTTAGATTGAACTCTCACTTAGATCGAACTAATTGGATTTGAATCGGACTCAAATCGAATATGAAATTGAACGGAATTACACGGTTAAATCTCTACAGTTACCATTCCAAAGTTTATTCGATAGACATCATTCATCCCAACAGCATGGATCCAACCATAGAGTTGCGTGAGCTACCTATTCCTTATGGAGAAGGTATACATCTGGACAAGTTTAAAAACATCATTAGATTCACTAGTTGCGATGAGCTCTTGTTTTGCAAATACCACTTTGAGACGAGCTGGACAGCCCTTTGGAATCCGTGGTTGAGACAAGTTAAATGGTTCAAGAACGATGCTAGAGGGTTCTTTGTTTTTGGCTTAGGATACGATAATGAAAAAGTTTACAAGATCTTGGGATATTTTGTTTCTATCCGTGAAAACTCCATAAGAGTTGCCATCTACGATTTAAAGAGGTTTATAAGGGAGATCGGTTTTCCTTGTTAAAGCAATGTTGTGTAACAAGGAAGATTGGTGTTTGGGTAACCAAGGAGATGATTAATAGTAACAATGGGGGTGATGAAGAGTGTGTGGTGTGGATAAACTTGATGACTTTATCAATAACTAGCTTGCCAAATCTATTTGGTCGCATTAGTTACTACATCTCTGACAAGACCTTATTCATGTGTTGTGCCGATGATGAAACTAGAGTGGCTTGCGTCTATATTGTGAGGGCAGAGATGTGCAAGAAGATTCAAATAGACTCTGGGATTGTGGAGTGTTTTCACTGTGTTTACACTCCCAATTTGATCTCGGTTCCTTGATTTACAAGTTAGGTTAAGTGAACTGCAAGTCTAAGTTTTTTAATCACTCTTTTTTTCTTTTTTTTTTAGCAGGAATCTATTGAATTAAACTAATTTCTCGTTCTAGGCAGCCTCTAATATCTTGGTGCTTGTGCATGTTTTAATGACAAAGAATTTTCAACTCTCATGTCTCAAAGCCCGTTACTTTTCATAATCGTTAAATCTTTATGTTTCTCTAAGTAAAAATTGTATACTGTATTGTTATCTTTTCCGTCTCATCACAATGGGCCAATGTCATTACACAAGAGATGAAAATGGAGGTTCACAAAAGGTCCAAATTTGTTTGTGATTCTAAACTCAAAATGTACACAACATTCCTCAATCAGAAACAGCAAAAATTGTAAAATATATTTGAGTTGCAAAGTTAAGATTCTTCTTCCCTAACCATGGTGCCCTGACTCTTTTGTTCGAGAAGAGTTGCTTGTTCGAAGTAACCAGCAGATTCAGTGGGCATGCCGGATTGGGCTAATACCAAAGACATCAAGTAGTGACCGGTTGGCCAATCAGGGTACGTATCTATTGCTTTATTTGCATCGGAAAAGGCTGCTTCTGGTTTCTTGCAGAATAGGGAGCTTAAACAACGCCTGGCGTAAACACTTGGGAATATCACACGTTTATCTTCAATAATGACCTGTGGACAGAAACAAGAAACAGAATTTTTAGCCCTATATATAAAGAATTCTTTGACTGATATGGATATTATTCGTTAGTAGAATAGTATACCTTTTCATAATATTGGCTTGCGGATGCAAAGTCTTTATTTTCGAAGGCCTCATGGCCGAGTTGAACATCTGCTTCGACATCACTCTTCTCTGGTAGCCATTCTTCGAGAGAGCACTGAACAAACCAATAAATTATAATTAAGCCTCTTTAAATCAAGTTTTAGAATAGTCATCAAATGTGTAATGAGAGGTGCGTGAGTTTTGTTTGGTTACCTCGGAGAAATCTTTGTCATCTTCATACTGTGTCTTGACCAAGATTTCATGTATGACATTAAGGTCCCTTTTGGAACAGGCTTCTCCTAGTGGCGACAGTTGACTCGGTGATGATGCTTCCTCCTTCGTTTCAACAGATGGAATCTGTGCACACATACACATATGTGAAATTGAAAAAACCAGAGAATATTTTCAGGTTAAGCATTGACTTCTTACTTCTGATGTAGTTTGCAAAGGTTCAAGTCCTGAAGATGATGCCTCCTCGTCCTGATTTGTCATTTCAGGTTTTATAACATGAATGAGAATAATCATCAAGAATGCAATTACGGTTACAATCATTAAGCAAGCTCCTTACCTGTGGTTTGTGTTGCAGGGCTTCAAGTGTTGCAACAAGATCTTTTGTGTTGAGACTCTCTCTATCCTCATACTGCAAACACCGAGAAGCCATTTGTAAAACTACAGTAGCTTCTTCAGCAGAGAACTTTCCTTCCAGGTTTGGATCCATCAAATCAATAACATTCTTCCCGTTTATCATCTCAGGAGCCTGCAAGCAGGAGAATAACCACTAATTCACTGGCTTGTGTTGCAAGAAACAGAGAATCTAAGGATCCATCAGAGGACTTGAAACAGAACCACTTACATGGCTTGGAGGGATTTGCTTTCCAGTAAGCAGATTCACAAGGACAGTACCAAATCTGTATATCACACTTTGAGAGTTCACACTTCCTGCTACAATGAGAATATAACATCACAATCCCATCATATTAACAACAATCTCAAGAGAGGAGCGCGAATCGATTTACCTGTTGTTCTTTGATCATCTTCGTTCTCCTTCAGCAAGCCGAAACATGAAAGACAGGCATCACCATCCTAATCAAAAAACATCCTTTAGATCATCACGAGGAAACATAAACATGAGAATAGTGTTGAGAAGAGAATCTATATTAGCATTGTTGTATACCTTATCAAAGAGAATTGTGTAAGCACTCAAGTTACTGTAAGATGCACTTGCATTGCTACAGAAATCCAATGCTTCAGCTATGCAATAAGCTACTCTCAACCGCATTCCCCATTCCATGGTTTCACTCTTCTCTGTGAATCAATCATAGGACAAACAAATTCAAAACAGAGAATGCTAAAAAACAGAGAATGCTTTTTCTGATTCTATCGATTCTACAAGCACAATCATGTCACAATGCAGCCTCTCTGATTTCAATCCCACTTACAATAACGCAAGATGATTCAATTGATTCTACAATCTTATAGTACTAGTCCCAAAAGTTGTCTTTTTAAAACAGCTTATAGTACACATAAACGAAAAATTCTACTTGTGTTCTTTTCGTATCGAAACAGAGAATGCTAACACTCTGTTTTTGATTCAATCGATCCTTCAATCAGATTATACATTAAAACCATCTAGTACGCAATCATGTAACATAAACCAACAATCACGAAGACTCTCTGATCTCATATTCACCGACCCAACTCATCAATCATGCAAGAACCAGATTCTCTAAAGCTATATGCGAAAACGAAACAAGAGAGATTAAGAGGAAGAGTCGTACGATCGAACAAGCGCTTAGCGAGAGTATCCTTAGGCAAGAACTCAGCGACAAGAAGCCTTTCTTTTTTATCACAGCCATATCCGAAGAACTTGACGACTCTCTTGTGCTTTAACTCCCAAACTCTCTGTGCTTCAATCTGAAAGCAACGAAGTAAGA